TATTTTATCATATGATTGTAGTTATTTGTTGCATCATAGTGATTTATTGTGTGATTTCATTTGAGGCATTATTTTGATTTATTATATGATTCGTATGTGATTTTATGACGTATTGACGTAGTAATTGAGATTAGTAAGCATGATAGTATTTAGTAGGAACGGGGTTTTTCCCAGGAAAGATAGTTTCTGTTTTTTTCTGCTAACCCGACTTTGTCTGGTTTTTTTGTGCTATACCTGTTATACTTGTTTTACCTGTTTTTATCTTGAAAATAAACATTCTTTTTCTTATACAGAAATTAAGCAAATTAGTTTTAGTTGTTACTTAAAAATAAACATGATTTTTCTATTTGACAAAGTGAAGTCTTAAATATTATTGTTATCCCTATGTTGACATCAAATAAGGATTCAGAACCTGTTGGATTGAACAACATTTCAGCTCAACTCAACACGACTCAAGCAAGCCTTGAATCAAATTTAGAATATTTATCACTGGAGGCATTGAGAGTTGTCTGTAAAGGAATAGGCATATTGGATTTGGGACCGAAAAAGGAAGTTGTGGCTAGGTTGGCAAGGAAAAGTAGGGTTCGGTTGGGTCTGAAAGTATCTGTTGGTGATTCTGAGCTGTCCGAAAAGGAGAAAAGTATTCAGCTGCAGTTTCTTCTAAATCGGGTTGAAGGTTTTCTGGAGGAACTGGATGTTTTTCAGAGGGCTGGTGATAGGTCGTAACAGTTAAGGGTGATGGCCGAAAATTCTCACAACACTTATGGAAGGCAGTCTATATTGGGCCAGGATTTGGCTCAAACCAGGTTTAAAAGGGCTCCAAGTTGGTGCGTAGATATGGATGTCCTGGTGTTGGACGATATGGAACAAAAAAACATGTGGGAGAAGTGAGAGCTAACAAAGCAGCATAACCGATGGGAGTATAATGAATTGTGTAAAATAGGGACATTGTTGAACAAGGCCTTGGTCTCTGGAGACATAGCCTTTGTTCGTCTAGCGAGACATATCATTTTGAAAAGAATATATGTTGTGAGGGTGGCCGATGAGGATGTTTGGGCTGTTGTGTCTAAAATAGTTTCAGCAGATACTTCAGATCCAATATCGGAGCTATTAGGAGGAAAATGTGAGAGGGCTAGATTAGTGGCACAGCATTTTACGAAGCCCAAGAAGGTGAGATCGTTGTATCAGCCTCAGTCAGAGCAGTCTCAGGCGCAAGCCCTGTCTTCTATATGAGCAGTGTTCCTATAACACAATTTGCACCAGTATAGCCTTACGTGCAGCAAGCAGAATTCGGTCAACAAGTCTTGAACCAACTGATGATTCTACAAGATCAGTTTGGAGGTCTCATGTCTTTTCCATCTTAGTCAGACCAGGCTGGCCCCAGTTGCTACAAGGCAGTATACAACAATTGCAACACTTTGGCCCAAATATTGGTGTATTGTCTCCAATATGGCAACAGTTGTACTCTTCTTTGCCTGTTTGGTTCAAAAAGGATGATAAAAATAAGGACCCAAGGGAAAGGATATTGTTTGTTACTTGTGCAAAGAAAAAGGTCATTTTGCTAATAAGTGTAGTTCTAGAAAATATCTGGGGTTGCCTTTTCGAGATGATAGAACCCAGTCGAGAAACAGTTAACTACGCCTAGGAGATATTGAGAGAAGTGATGGTGTATTAGAGGAATAGATAGCTGGGAGGATTTACAGTTGTGCAGCAGTAAATTATTGAGAGAATGTGATTCGACCTTCTCAGATGATATTGAAATAGTTAAAGGAAGGAGTCTCTCTGTTTTCAAGAAATTTAGTATGCTTGGCGGCCAGCCCAGACCCAAAGTCCTATCATTTTACAAGAGAGAAGAAGTGTTGGTTAAAAAAGAAGTTGGAGAGGTTAGAAGTGTTGGAGGCAATAGTAAAAATTTGCAAGAGAAATTCTCGACTAGCAAGTCTTCTGGAAGTAAGCCTAGTGTTCTTGATTTTGAAACAAGGCCCTCAAAGGTTTCATCTTATAATTAATTTACAAAGGTTGAATCGGGCCCTGCCCAGAAATCATTTCATTTCGAGGGTCTAGGTGGTCTTTTGCATATGATCGAAAAAGGTTGGTAGACAATATCGTTCGATTTAATGGATAGGTATTATCATATACTTATGAATACCGAGACACAGAGGCTATTGGGCTTCATTGTGACAGAGATATGGTTCTAGTACAGGATTTTGCCATTCGGCCTGAGTCAAACCCTCTGGGTGTTTTCAAAGTTAATGAGGGCTTTGATTAGCAAGTGGTGTGCCCAGAGAATATATTGTAGTAACCACCTAGACAACATGTGGGTAGTCTACCAACAAGGGAAGCATTATTAAAGATAAGGAAAAAGGTAATAGAGAGGGATTTAGCAGGATGCGGCTAGGTTCAAGCCCAAGAAAAAGGGTGTTGGGACCCAACTCAGGCTATAAAATTTTGCAGAATGATAGTAGACACTTTAAACAGTGTGGTAGTGGCATCAGAGAAAAAGGTATTTTCGATGATAGCTGCATTAAGTCAGTTTTGGTAGCATCTACCGTATCAGCAAGGAGTTTGGCTTCAGTTGCAGGAAGAATAGTGAGTTTGGGAAGGGCCTTCCTCCTGAGTCAAGTAAAGTGCATAGAGTTTTACAAGCTGATAGATTCAAAAAATCAGCTTGTTTGGCAATAGGACAATGAAGTTCAGTTATCATTATAGGCGATTAAGGATATTTGTTGGTTAGTAATAAACTTGAAAAAGTAGAATGGCCGACCGGCCTGGAAACCTTGTTATGTAAGGTTAGTGTATATCGACATCTCTACGATGAGTTGGTGCGGTATATATCAGGAGCACAGGGTGTCGCAAAATTGGTCGCTCATGTTTCAAATATAATAGCACAGTTAGAGGCTTTGGCTGTACTTCAGACACTCTAGTCCTTCAAAAAGTTGTTAGCTGGGACCTGGATAATGTTGTTTATCAACAACAAGATGGCTTTGAGAACTGTAGTGAGTAAAGGCCTAACGGATTGGCCAAAGGATATTACTAGACAGATTTGGGAGGTATGCATTGAGGCTGATATCGGTATTTTTAGCACAAGGTGGATCTCAAGTGGTTTAAACCTAGCAGATACATTGACAAAGGTAGTGGACCAAGGGGATTGGATATTGAGTTCAGAGGTAATATCATAGTTGGAGTAGGCTTGGGGACAATTCAAGGTAGACAAGTTCATAAGCCACCTAAATGCAAAAACCAAAAGATTCAACAACCTCTATTTCTGTCCAGAGTTAGAGGCAGTGAATTGTTTTATTCAAGACTAAACTGGGGCAAGGAATTATCTGTGTTCTCCTTTTGTTTAATTCACAGGGCACTATGCTATGCAAAAGAGTGTAAGCATGAATAGTGATTATAGTTTCAGTATAGATCTCGGCCCTATGGTAGCCTCTGGTAGTAAATTCTTCAAGAAAAGAGATCAATCTACTGCCAACAAGCCGAATTATCTTGCCAGAGCCTTTGGAGAACTTAGAGCCATACAAAAACAGCCAGTGGTCACTAAAGGCAATACACTGACAATACTGTTAGATTGGTCAAAAAGCTTTTGAGTAGGGCAGAATGTTTAATAGACAGTTCTATTAGTAAAGAGTATAGGAGGCATTTGATAAAGGCTTAGGGTATTTATAGCAGTTTTGTGGGTTGGGTTGGTTTGGCCCTGTACCTGGTATCAAAAGAACCACTGGCAGCTTTTCTTGCTTGGTTAGAACTATCAGGCAGAACAGTGAAGATACAAATCTGTCTAGCCGCAATAGCTAGAGAACACAAAATAAGAGGCTTCAAGGACCCAATGAAGGGTGTTCGATCTGGATGATTGTGGAAGGAATCAAGAGAACTGTTGACTGAGAAAAGGTTGAAGTAAAATGGCCAAGAAACCCTCTTCTAGTGACAGTGATTGGAAAATATATTGACTGCCTCCTGCCTGAAGTCAGTATATTGTTGTGGGTACAGAATTTAGCATTGGTTGCCTTGGATTTAAGGGTTATGCGTAGACCAAGCAAGTTATGTAATTTAAAAAGGTCAGATATCATGAAGAAAGATAGAAAATTGTGGATTAGAGTTGCGAAGTCAAAAAACGGATCAATTAGGAAAAGGCAAGTTTATCCCAGTAGAAAGATCAACAAGTAGAGTATACCTAGTGAAACTATTAAATTGTTATTTGAGACTGAGGCTGGCTATATCACCAGAAAAACCCCTATTCCTGTCTAGAAGTAGGAAAAAGTTATCTGTGACAGCAGTGTCAGCAATTGTAAGGCAGTTTGTGGATAATGCTGAGCTGCACGAAAGGTATATGGTATATAGCTTAAGAATTGGCAATACAATAGCAGCCCTGAAAGAGGAAATAACAATGGAGCAGATTTAGTCAATTGGTGGCTGGTTTTTGGCAGCAGTACAGGTATATATGAGAGCAGTTGGTACTGCCGAGTTTGAGGCCTCTAGGCTAATAGGCTTTGTATAGGTTTAAAAAGAGGTGAGAAGTCAACATAGATCCAGAACCTTGCCCTTCAGGTTGATACTTGGCAAGACCCATAGTTGCTTT